CATTATTAATGTGTAAATCTGGTAATATAGACAGTAGAATGATCTCAGGTTAAAGTTCTAAATTTGTACAATCTAATTTAAAATGACATAACGTATCAGCAGCTCTGTGTAAATCAAAAGCAATTTAAAAAAAAAACTGGTATGGAGAAAGAATGTACAAGAAGAGGCAAGAAGTTATACAAATGACCTATGTAGTCTGACCTCTCACTCCATAATGGCTAATGTGATTTGCTATGGGAATACAAACTCCAACAATAAAAGAGTTCATGTCTACAAATAGAGCTGCATGGTTCATTTAATAACATTCTTTACCTTTGTTAAAACAAGAACATTTTCTCTCAACGCTGGTAGAAGCATAACCAGTTTTTAAAAATCTTTGCTAGTAACCCTGTCCTTTCTAAAGGTAGGGCTGATAGGGAAAATGTTTCTTGGAATTGCTCTACCACCAGGTCCCAGAAAGACACAGCTGAACTCCATTATGAAATTGGATACCTAGCTAATCAGCTTACAATATGGACTTGAGACTTGACTGCTATAACCCTGCTTGAAATCACTTGCAAGAATCTCAAGTAACCTGAAATAATCGATTTGTTTTGAAAACTAGTCACGTGGTTCCTTTCCCTGACAAAAATAGTAGTTGACACGGTGAGCAGGCTGCATAAGTCATCTATTATCCCACGGAACCAGAAACACTGTGGAGACATTCTTCATTATTTTTTCATGCTGAAATATAGTTCGGTAAAATACTAGCTCTGGCCCCGATCCGCTGAGCTTAATGATTTGACAGCACTGTGAAGAGCAGACTTCTATGGATACACATGCCTTTCTCAAACCTTGTTTCCATCTTGCTATGCTTTACCTGATCAATCTGTTATAAATGTGCTACATAAAGAAATGTAGTTATATTTAAAGGCTGTTACAGTTAAGCTTCTATGTGAAGTCATTTGTGGCATTTAAAAACAATCATAAGTCTCACAGAATAGTCTCTTACTTCCAATATGCAAGCATTTAGTGAGTAACCTCATGTGGGTCACTGTAGTTGGAGGAGTTAGTTCTGTCCTCAAACCTGAGAGGAAGAAGTATTGGCTTTAACTCTTGGGTTCCTTCCTAGTAAGTTAGTTGAATATGACAAAGTCTCATTTTTCTCTGAAAGTTAAAGCATGCATACCTGCTATATAGAAAGGCATCCTTTCACTTCTACAGACGCAGCAAATACCCACTCATTAGGCATTTTATTTACTAGATCCTAGTGATGCACAGGTTGAATAATTATCCATTCATTTTTTATAGCCCAGGATCTTATCCATTAGTGTAGGCATGGAAGGGCAACAAGCAAGCATAATAACCCAGGCACCGATATGAAGATTGCCATAACTTCAGCAGAGTCAACATGCCCAGAAATTGAAAAAGAAAGCAATTTTTTTCCCTTTCATGGGTTTCAAAAAAGAAGTGATTTTAATTTGGGGCAAAGATCAAGAAGAGAATGAACAGGTGTGGAATTCTGAGAGAGGCATAGTAAGAACACTGTGTGACTGTTGTAGGATGTGGGGGTGGAGTGGGAAGGGGAGCAGGTGGTCCTTTGCCATCAGGGTATAACAGCCATACCTCTGGATTCTATGTCACAGTCATGCTTATCCACCCTACCAAACAATGCTCCACATGATTCAGCCATACTTCCTTTGGAAAACAGGCTATATGTATGCACATGTGTGTTTTCTAAAAGCTCACCAGTACTTATGTTTATTATAGGCTTCCAAATGTGATAAGAGGTCTCATCTGTCTTTATTTTCAATGTTTTTTTCTTTTTGAAAGTGCCTTAGGCTATAGACTGGTGCTGGCCATTGAACAATCATTTTGAAGATGATAGTCTGAACTGAAAAAATAGTATGTTGTCCAGAGGTATATGATTTCAATGTGCAATCCTTATAATATTATTAGATGGATTCCTCTAACCCTATCTTGGTGTTCATAGCTTTGGCAATAAAGAAAGTTCTATGGAGGATTTGACTTAGGTCTTAAAAGGACAAAAAGAAAGTGGTGGCTACCCAGGCCCCAGAAACTTCACAAATTTGGTGCTCAAGCAAAATGTTTAGGGCAGGAAGCACAGAGCAAGATCAAAAGCATGGAGCCACTGGGTACAAACTCATGGTATCTGCGTGCACATTTTGGCTTTAATCCATGGATACATTTAGAGTAGCTGAATTTTGAGAACATAGGACTATAGTGGTTTAAACAGTACTGTAGTAGAAAAAAGGCTGTAAACCACACTCCAGAGAGGACTGAGAATAAGGAAAACCACAGGATAATATTTAGAGAGCATACAAATGGTGAGAAGAAAAGATTTGAATTGTGGCTGTGGTATTGAACACAAAGAGAAAGGGGGAAAGGTAGAGCTGTGTTCTGGAAGCATGAGCAGTCGGCAAGTAGCTGAAAGGGGGAAGGGCTGTGTTGATGGTGGGCTGAGACTTTGGACTAACACCGACACGGTTTCCAGGAATAGAAAGTGGAAGCACCAAAGAACGAGGACGCTAATGTTTCAAGGAGAATATGACGAGTTAATTAGCTACATATATGTAATGTAAGTAGAGATAATAGACTGCTTATAAAATTAGATGTGTGGGTCAGAGGAAATTAAGCCTCTGCCAATGATCTGACATCTGTGTTCATTTCTCTTTTGGTGCTGACTGTAGTAGATTAGGATGAAAGGTGAATTGCAATTACCGAGTTTGTTTAGATTAAATACAACATCATCCTCATCTGAATATCTAACTCTCTCACTGCTTAGCCTCTGTTCATACTAATAGGCTGTCTTACCTCCATCTAGCTCAGCTGTCTCTGTGAAATCCCCAGCAAAGAGAGAGTATCTGTCTCCCTTTTTACTGCTGTATGACAGCTGGAAAAGGTTACTGGTTCTGAACCCAGATAGCTTCTGTCTCATTCTCCTGCTGAACTCCCATAATTAATCTTTTCCAGACTGACAATAATTCCACTGTCTTCATTTCAGAGAAACTCTTGGTTTTCTAACACTTCAGATAACTCATTACTGGGTTAGAAAGGAATGGCGATACTCCACCAGGCTTCTCCAGTTTCTCCGTGTGCTGTCGGGTCAATGCTCTCAGCATAGCTAAGTAGGGACAGATGGTGCCCATTCCCTCAGTGACAGAACCATCCAGCAATGTCAAAGGCATTTACATCCTTGAGAGAGAAATGCTTTATGACTAAAAGTTTCCTACCATGTGTACTTCAGGATACAGAAATGAAACTCTAGGAACAATTCATGTCCAATTATGTTAAACTTTAATTACGTGAATCATTTAAAAATAAACTCAGTTGCTGTTTTCTGTTAGCAATTCTCCAAGGACCCTTTCTAAAAGGGCATTAGTGCACTTGACTTGAAGGTCTCTACAGTAATGATCATGTAAAACTCAAGATTGGACACATGTTCTACCGTGAAGACACATACTTACACCACTAAAGAGAAAGTAAAGGGGGGAGAGGGAGAGATGCTTAGGAAAGGGTCATCAATTCTGATTGTATGGACAAAGCTTTCTGTTTCTTTAACTACCATCCTTAACCTTTATGGATGACAAAGGTTTTTATTTGTTTGATTGATTTTGTAAATAAAAACTCACAGCCTCTGCTTAAATAACAGAATTCTGAAAGTTAAATGTAAAGGAATAGGCCTGCAATCCCATCCGTAGGGAAGCCAAGGCCGGAGGATTTAGGGTTTGATGCTATCTAGAGAGACCTACCTAGTTTGAGCTACCTAGAGGGACACTGTATCAACAAATCCCAGTGAGAGCAGAAGGAGGAGAAATCAATTTGAAGAGTCTGCTGATCTGCATTTTAGTCTCACATGATCTTTCCTAACTGTCTTATTTTCAGAATCTCAGATTTCTCATAAAGAACAAAGATTTATAGCTAAGATCTCCCATGCTTCTGAAATGTCAACAGTATAATTTTCCCAGATAAAAACAGTGAACTGATTGTGATATAAAATAGTTTGCAGAAATACATTTTTATGTTATTCAGCAGATACGAGTACTTGATAGTGAGACATGAGGACCTGAACTGAAATCACCCCTTTAATCTTAAAAAACGCTAGGCATGACAGCATGCTTGTAATCCCAGATGGGAGACAGAAACAGGAAGATCCCTAGTGCTTGCTAATGAGCCAGTATGGGCTTGACTTGAAGTTGGCAAACTCTAGGCTCAGTGACAGTACCTTTTTCCAAAAATATTTGGGAAAAATGACCAAAAACCATGATTGATGTAGACTCTGCCATCCATGGAATATATACCTGCATTTGAATGTATGTTCTATACTCATAGAAACATATGTTACTCCTATAACTAAGTTCATGTTATGGAGACAGAAATAATTAAAAACCCTGTAGTATTTTTGTCTTTGCCTTATTGGAGAGGACAGCAATTCTAGTATTCTTGAATATATCAGAGCTAGGAGCGCAACTCCATGGTTACTATGTTAATCTCACTTGTGAGTGCTTCTACCACTAAAGTTGTATTAAGAGTTAAGCTATAGTTATGTTAAAGAAAACACATGCGTTGTATAGATTTGCAGTTACTCCTCATAGTTTTACCATTATACGTATATTTAAAGTATCATGGGATGAAGAGGACCCAACAAGAGAGTCTTTAAGCCTCAATCACCCACAAATGTAGCTGAAGGAAGCATCTTAGTTAATGGCAGGTTATGACTCACCAAGGTCATCCATCCATCAGTTATCTGCTTGCCCATTCTTTCCAAATCCACCTACTCCATGTTGTGGTCTGATGTCTGCAAATCTCACCACAAATTGCATTGGAGTGGTCACATAAAGAGTCCAAACTTAACTGTGCAGGAAGGTTGGAAATTAACGCTTGTTTGTTACTTCAATCCCTTTCTGTTGTGTTGAGAAGAAGGTGCTACATATGGAGCGAGGAGGCAAATGCGAGTCTAATCTTTGTTTTCTTGTCGTAATAAAGGGACATTGCTGGGCTGAGAGTTGGATCTTGCTAACAGGAGGTAAGTGCGAAGACGAGCCTGTGCTGTAATCTTGGTCAGGTCCAGTCCCTAGGCTGTGTTGGGCATCACCTTCCTCTCTGTTGAGTACATCGGTGTCATATAATACTTTAATTTTAAATTCTTTGTTATGAAAATTTCCCTAACCACAGAAAAATTGAAAAATGTTATAATGTACTTTCCCAGCCACACCATCTGGTTCCACATCTGGTGAGGGACATCTTGTGGCATTAAACCACAGTGAAGTGCATGGCAGGAGACAGCAATCGTGGGATGTCATCTCTGTGCTTCTTCTGACAAAGCCACTGAGACCATCATGGAGGCCACACTCTTTATCATTTTCTGACCCTCGTTGCCTCCAGAGATCCATATTCTAACTACCATGAGCATAAATTTAGAGTTATGTTTTCAGCATATGAACTTTTAGGGAGCACATTCAGTCAGGCCAGACCACTATTCCTTCCTACTGTGTCTTTTTCCAGCTATGCTTCAACCTATCATGCAACACCCATTGGAATAGCATTGTAATGCTGTGAGCATTTAGGGGCTTCTGTTCAAAAGCAGATCAGAAGAGTCAACTGCTGTGCGTTGTTAGGTTATGACAGTTGGCTCTTGTCAGAGAGACACTAGCTAATGTGACATGTGCAACAAATTCCACAAATAGTACACACTGTATTTTAGTACATATGGAATTTCAGAAAACAGAATTTATCATTATTATAAAACAATCCATGCTTTACACTTCTAAGGATATAATATATTTTAGAAAATCTCACTCATCTTTACTAACTAAGTTTGGTAGAGTCAGAGAGAACCTTGTGCAAACTTTTCAAGGGTGCCATGAAAGGACAAATGTAGACATGAAAGAAATATGACAGAAGTACTCTCTCTTGGAGACTAATGGCAGGCGATGTATATACTGCTGTTTCCTATTTGAAAGCTTTCACAATGAAAAGTTTAGAACATAATCCAGTAAAAAAACCATCTACTATTCAGGAGAGGTAATTTACACAGACATATCAATACACTGATATATGCTGTAGAAGAAGAATTTGATCATGTAGTTTTACTGCCTCATATCATGAACTGGATATTATTTTAAGTTAATTTTAAAAATACATAAAACAGCTATACTACAGATACTTAAACAGCAGCATGTAACATTTCATGATAGATATTCATTTTTTAATGCTTAAATTGATCCCAAAATAACCATTAATGCAAACTCTCTTCATTTCTCCATGTGTGTGCCTGCACACATGCACACACATGTGCCTGCTTGTGGTCAACATTATTGTGTCTTCCATGGTCATTCTCTACATCAGGTTTTAAGGCATGGTCTCTCACTGACACTGGAGCTCACTGATTCCGCCAGGATTGCTGGCTTGTGAGCTCTGGCTCTAGGGAACTACTTTCTTCGTGGGTACTGGGCATCTAAACTTCAGTGCCCATCATTTCACAGCAAGCATTGACCAGTTGAGTCATTTTCCCAATGCCTAATTATTTCTTTATATGAAAAGCATTCAGAATCCTTTCTCCTAGAATTTTGGGCTGGTAAATCCCATTTCTAAACCCACAAAATGGAAAGAGAGAATAAATTTTGTGTATTGCTCTCCATATGTGTTCTATGGTGCACACGCACATGTTCATGTGTGCATGCACACTATATGCACATGCACATACAGAAATAAATGTAATGAAATGCATTTTTCATGTAAAATTTAAACAGATGGATTTTATACATTCTTCATCATTGTGAATGAGATCATCATGCAAACAAGATTGAGTAAAACATGTTGGTGAGAGCTGAGAGAAAGAAGGAAGGAAAGACAGCCAGCCAGAAAAGAAAGTCTGATAGAATCTTTCAAATGTTAGCAATAGACTCACTCAGCATATCTCATTGGAATTGAGAAGCTCTGATGTCAAAATCAATAGAAAAGTTTTCAGCTACCAATTAAAACTAACACTTCTCTTGTACAGAACCCCTGACTGACCCATCTTTCAATGCTGTGATATAGCTGCTTCACTTTTATGAATAAGTAATCAATGCTCACAATGCCAAGCACGTATGAAAGTGGAGTTGTGTCAATACGAGACACTAATTAATAAAATATATTCTAAACATCTTTATTTGTCAAGACTTGAACTTTCTAATTTCCTGAATTTTGTCGTTTATAATAATGTTCACATCTGGACTTAGTGGCATACAGGTGTCATCTTCAATATTTAGAAGATATAGCCAGGACAAGCAAGAGCTCCAAGTTAGCCTTAGATAAATAGCAAGATCCTGTTTCATTTATTCTATCTAGAAAAGTTTAACCAAGAAAAGAAGACCTACCCCAATGTGGATGCAACTATCACATGCCCATAAACAAGGGGATCCTAGACTAAATAAAAAGGAAAAAAATGAGCTGAGTATGAGTATTCATTTCTCTCTCTTCACTGACTATGTACACGATACAGCCACCTGCCTCATACTCCTGTCGCCACACATAAAGCTGCTCTCATGGCTATACATGTGCCACCTTGATTAACTGTACACTGGAACGTAAGCCCTTAGGTTGAATTCTCAGGCCCTTTGTCACAGTATCAAGAAATCTAAAGCAATGGTAGATTAATGGATAAGTAACAGGTAAAGCAACAGAGGGTGATGGAGAAATAGAAACATATAGATAGGTGGTAGATAGATAGATAGATACTGACTTATTAAAATTAACTCAAGGCATTGTGAAGCCTAAGAAGTTCCAGGATCAATAGTTTGCAGACCAAAATGGATAGTAACATCAATTCAAATCAAAGGCTAATGATAGGAAAAATACTAAACCGTATCTCATCTCAAATACCATCATGAGGGGAGATAAGCCCACCCTCTTGTTCCACTCAGGTCTGCAAGGGATATTGGGGAGATACTATATTTCCCTGGGTCTATCAACTCAAATACTAATATTCCAGAAGCTTCTTTAAAACTGCATCTAGAAATAATGTTTGGACAAACATCTAGGCACTGGTGGCCCATTCAGATGGACACATAAAAGTTAGCAATAGGTTTGTCTTCCTTCTCTAAACTTTTCTCTATTATTGTTTTATGTTACAGCTCCCTAAAATCAAGTGTTTAGTGAAAGTTTGTGGAAAATCAGTTTACTGAGGAATTCCACCATGGAAAATAATTAGGAGGATCTAGAAAACGGTAATTAGAAAAAAAGGAGGCCAAGTTAGTGCTAGACTGAGTCAAATCTTAGGATGACAAAGACTTTCTCCAGGTGTGTGGGTACATTGCAATGATTGCCCTATGCAGTGCCTGAGAAGCTGGGGTATTAATACCTACCAGGTCAGCAAGAGTTAAGGATACAAATCTTCATAAACTACAGTTCTTTATACAGGCTTGAGGGGACACCAGTAGTAGGTGCTTTCTGCTCTCATTGGTAAAGCTTTAGGAAGTTGTTTGTATCTGAAATGTTCCCAATAGGCTCATTTGTGTGTTTCAATCCCAGATCCATAGCTGAGATGTTGCTTTCAGGAGTTATAAGTAAGACTGAGTGGACCTGGAGGAATACGTGTGCTCTGGGTGAGTTGTCTTCCTTGGTAAAACATGGGATGATACAGCCCTCTGTAATCCCAGATGCTACCTCATCCTTGTGCTATATCCTTCTCTATGAAACCATATTATCAGGTGAAAATGCCAATCTTTGCTCTGTAAGATAATTGGGTTGAATGCCAGCTTTTTCTCTAGTGGTACCGACGACATCTCACTACTTAAAATTATGCTCTTGAATCCTTTGCTGTTGCTTCATGCCATAATTGCCTCAAACTAAAACTCTTAGATATTGATGAAGAATTATCTACTTCTGAGCTCACTATAACAACGTTAGAAGGTGCAATAGTTGGTGGGTGAGTCCTGACTTTTAAAAAGCATTTTGCTTTGTCCTCTGGGTTTTAACAGCTTGCCAGATACAAGAGAAATCTTGAATGTGTGGTAGAAAAGACACCATATCCAAACTTAGCCGTGCACCCCTAAATGTAAAGAGCACATGCTGGAAAAATTTCATGTACAAGCTGTAAATTCTGGGACCATCCCACGTGGGTGAGTCATGTAATTTCACCTCCTAAAGGCTCTCAACAGAACAGCTGCATGCTTTTTAAAACAAGCTATGTTTGTATACTCTACCACACCAGCATCGGCAATTATTTTAAGCTCTCTCATAAATGTGTATAGAATTGAAGACATAATTAGAAAGATTTAGGAAGCTTTGTGTTTTCTGAAGTTACTTTCTATTTTTCAAAAGAAATATTATCAAAAATTGGCCTATTCTAAAGGACAATTTTTAAAAGGCTAAACAAAGATTTGATTGGTTAATCAAGCATAGGGTAGGTGTCTTTTGTGTTATACATTACAGCTCTAATGTCATACAACTAATATTTTTCAATTCCTGGGATTTGTCAAGACTTCAACAACTTGAAAATTGTTTAGACAACTCCAAATTGAATCTTTCTGTTTATATGTGCAGCAAGTGTGAAATTAAAGTTTGATAAATGTGCACAGTTGCACAATATTGAGCATGTTAAAAGGTTACACTGAGAGTCTCTTATTAATTTTCACCTTGTAGTTTAGCACATTTACTTTTTATTGTGAGGTCTGGCATTACTTTACATAGAAGATTATCCTTCAAAAATGCTTTTGCATGTGTGGATATATTTTAAGTTACCACGTAATGGTGCATTCAGGCAGTAATTGTAAGAAAGACAGCTTGAGGAGCCTAAATTATGTGTTTCCAACTGGCCCTCTTCTAATCGCCCTTGGGGGGGGCAATCTAAAATGGTTTGTTATCTTTGTTTATAGTTTCTTTCTTCCTTCCTTTCTTCCTTCCTTCTTTCTTTCTTTCTTTCTTTCTTCCTTCCTTCCTTCCTTCCTCCTTCCTTCCCTTCCTTCCTTCCTTCCTTCCTTCCTTCCTTCCTTCCTTCCTTCCTTCCTTCCTTCTTTCTTCCTCAAATTAAAAATCAACCAGACCTTCCCATTTTAACACTGCAAACTAGCAGAAGAAAGGCAAGTCTCTTAATTTTCCAGCATAGTTCCATTTCTTTCAAAATACTAGTGGTTAGTGATGGTCATGCAATGGTATCTAATAGTCTCTGAGAATCTCAGAGGAATCCTCTCATACCCATGCACACATTACGCACTCATGCACTCCCGAGACTTAGTCAATCCCTGGCAATCTGTCATACCTCGTCAGGATACCACGCTCTCTCATTTCTGTTCAAGCATCCAACAGAATCTTCTAGAGGAGTAGGGAGAGGTTCAAAAATCTCTGAGACAAGGGATTTTGAAAGTTGCTTAGCAGCTGGAAATGTGAGCGCAGAAGAGAGTAAGGATGGCTTGGAGGAAAGGACTTAAAAGGACTGTCAGAATGGGTTGCCTCCACTGCCCATTACAGTGCTAAACCTTATGAGCTTCAGCTTTTGGGGATGGGGGAGGGGTGGAGGGACACTGTGTCTCCCCAGCCTCTTCTCCCTGAGAATACTAGACTCCAGACATATGGAGTTGAAGAGGATGAGCAGTGTGCTCTGGCTGACCTCTGTGGTCCATGGGCAAATCCCCTGGGAGAGGATGTGGCAATGTATTATAGTCTTCTGCTGCCTCACTCAAAAGAAGGCACATTAATGTATATGTTTATACATTCTTTTCCATACCAGTAAATATTTCTTATTCTGATAAAACATTTTAATAGGGTCTTAAAAATTGATTTAAAGTACTTTCCCTGTCTTTAAGAATAAGAACCACAATTTCAATAACATTTTCAGTTGGAGATATTTGGTAGACAAACTATACTAATTAGGAAAGGGGTAAAAACGTAAAACATGTGCAAAACATATGCTGTGTTCAGTTTCATGCCAGAACAGATTACAAATCAAGACAGCATGGCAACGTAGATGGTGTGCAGTCTCTATAGATGTGGGCTAGCTGAAAACATCTCCATGAAGGACAGGCAGCTTTTAAGCTGTGGACATGTAACTATGCAAAATGTGTTCAGTTGCCACAACAGAAAGTTCCTCCTTGATAGAGCTTCTCCTACATCTAAACCTTCACAGTACATCAACAGCAAAAGGGGAGGAGCGTAATTGGAGGGCTTTGCCTCAAGGGAGAAAATAGGCTCAGAGAAGTTAAGACTATTTTAATAAATATAAATAAATCTTCATGTCACCCAGGATGATTTAAAAACATACTAAAAAATCATGACATCATTTAAGTGCAAAGTCTTGTGCCAATGTACCAGCAGGATGCTCAAACAGCTAATGCAAATATTTTTACATGGAAGAAGGGCAACTTTAACCCAAAACACTGTCAGAGAGACAGTCCCTCTCTTGTGTAGATGCTTGTGATTTTTAAAATGAAAAGGGAAAAAAGTGATAAAAAGTTTTCCAACACAAAAGGGGAGTTTTCATGAGATATTGTGCATTTGAATTTGTGTCATAGAAACTCAACTGTTCTTCATGACAGCCTTCATTAATGAAGGATGTCTTAGTTGGGAGACTATTAGGCATCCACAGGCTCTGTAGATGGGTTAAAGAGGTCCCAGCTCCTTGAAAACTGTGTACAACTTATGCTTATATCTTGAGTGCTTTCCAAACATTCTCACGAAAGCCAAGACTTCTCAAACATTTAGAAACGATATTGGAGAAAGCAGGGTTTAATTAATGGAGACAAATCTACATATCTCATATGAAAAATGGCTTGTGCAACAGAGAAAAACTTTGCAGTTAACTGAAGTCTGTAACAAAGCACATGTTGTGTTTATGCCTTTGAACAAGTGTAATAGAACAACTCCAGTAAAATGGTTTCCCTCTGAATGAATGTTTAGATTTACAAACTATTTGTCCCAGACACTTTCTTTACAATTTGAACATTTAAAGAGTCATGGGAACCAAACATATATATATATATATATATATATATATATATATATATATATATATATATATGTTTATTGCCAATAAATACTTATGAAAGTGCTGGCAATATATGACTCAACCTAATGGCTAAGGGACATTAGGATAGATAACAGGGAGGGAGGGATCTGGTTACATACCTGGCTATGGTCTGTGGCGTACATAGTGGAGTTGAATGCAGCAGTAAAAGGCTACTCAAAGCACTATGCTCTGGTGAAGAACAAAAAGAAACAAAACTTAAAGCTTGATTGCGTTATGACTTGTCTTGTTAAAATTCTATAATAACTTGTCAAATGAAGGAAATTAAGACTCAGGTATTGGTTTCTCATCCATAAGAGGATGTCAGAAGAACAATATGATACATTTCCATGACACTGAGTTAGCTGAACTGGGAATACAGAGCTGCAAATTTCTACTTCTAAACTAATGAAGGATGATAGAGATACAGCATGTGAGTGTTAGTAAGCTATAAATTAAAGGGCTTGTTTCTTTTTGCTTCAAGGGATCAGTTTACATGGATGAAGGGCAACATTAACCCAAAATGCTGTCAGAGATGAGATGTCACTCAAAGAATCCTGCTGCCACTCTTATCCATGGGTGATCATTAGCTGACCCACCTGTGTCCTGGAGCAGCAGTTGGCCTTCAGCTCCTCTGGCTTCTGCCAAAATCCTGATTTCCCAGTGAGATGCACACTGAGCTCTGTGGTAAGGTAGCGGCTTTCTCTATTTCAGTTACTAAAGCATACAAAGCAAAAAAAGGAGAGCCTTTTAAGAAAGTTCTGCTCTCCTGAGCTTCAGAAATTATCAGAACTAAGAGAAGCCTATGAATCCACTGTATACTCTACATTATTTATAAAGTGAGTTTTTGTTGTTTTTTCTAATAATAACAATAGTTGAAGAGCCGACTTTCTAAAATGAAAGCAAAGAAGTGGGAGCGTCCAGTTCAAGACCTCACATGTGACTGCGGGTCAAAGATGTTGACATTTAACAGCAAAAATGTAGTTGGTGCAAAGATATCATTTGCAGAAAAAGATACCTGGATTGATCTTATACAGAAGGACCTGTATTAACTCTTTCTGTAAATATTGGTGGGAATTCTTCCACACCACATTGATCCAGCCAAAGATGTCAGAGGCAGAGAGGATCATGGACCAGGTTAAGAACTGATAAAGTCCACAGGGCTAAAAAGATGGCTAAGTGCTAAGAACACTGGTTGCTCTTTCTCAGGACCAAGGTTCAGTTCCTAGCACTCACATGGTAGTTCACAACCATTTGTAATTCCAGGTCCACAGAATCCAATACCCTTTTCTGACATTCTTTAGCACCAAGACACACAAAAAATACATTCTTATACATACAGGAAAAATGCTCAAACATATATAATAAATAAATATGAATTTTAAAAGTTAAGTCCTAGAAGAGGATATGCTGCAGGAATTAAAAATGGTCTTGGTATTGTAGCTGGGAAGGACTGTTGTGGGTTGCTTTCCTCCTTCTAGAGTTTTCATTGTGCCTTCAGGTTCTGTGAATGCTTATCCTCAGGAAGGTGGCTTTCTGATCAGTCCCAGCTCAAGGGCTTCTGAGTTCTGCATTTGGAGTGTGTGGTGTCTTCAGCAATGGAGA